TCTGCCATTTCTTATAAATGTCATATGCCAATTTTGGAAGCATTTGAGCCTAGTCTTACACCAGTATCTATCCAAGCCATTAGCCTCAGACTTCTGTTAGGTCATCCAGAGACTTCCAGCTTCCTAAACTGAGTAGCTACTAGTTCCCTTAGCTCTTCAGCTTGCAGACATGCTGGGAGTATATAGCTTCTGATTATGTTACCCAATCTAATAAATAACCTTTCATAATTATATATACACTGCCTTAGTTTTGTACCTCTAGAGAATCCTAATACACATCACAATTTTTAGGCTTAATATCTTAAAGGAGCAAAAAATTGGTTTAGACATTATACAAAGAAGATATAAGACAGTACATGAAAAACTGCTCAGTCTCAACAATATCTAGAGAATGAAAACTAAAATTACATTGAGATGAAATTACATTAGATAAGAATGGCTAAAATTGAAAAAAATATTAACACTGAATATTGGTGATGTCTATGGGAAATGGCAGCAGTAAGAAAAAATGCTAATGTGATAATGAATGTCAAATATACATTTTACTATCGAGGCAGTATGAGTCTGTACTCCCAGCATCTGGGAGGCTAAGACAGGAGGATAGTGAGTTCAAAGCCAGTCTCAGCAATAGTGAGGCACTAACCAACTCAGTGAGACCCTGTCTCTAAATAAAACACAAAAATAGGGTTGGGGACATGGCTCAGTGGCTGAGTGCCACTGAGTTCAATCCCTGGTTTCCCCCCCCCCCCAAAATATACATACATTTTATAACACTAGGAAGAATTTGGTGTGATGAAATGACCAATAATGTAGTTACATAGGTCATTATAGTCATTGATTTTTGTGAGTTAATCATAGTGTTTTTAATTATGAATTGCTGGATCTCCCTATTGATAACAGCAGCAAAATACTAAGTTGCATTCTAAAAAATGGCCAGGAAATGTAAACTAGGGATAGTGCATTGCTATATAATTTTTCCACAGTGAAGCATTAGTTGGTAAACAGCTAAATAATCCACACAGTAATATTATATATAGAATAGGCAATGCATATATTTTAAAGTATACATTTTTGCGTGTTTTTATATTTTTCTCTTCATCAGCTCCTCTTTCCTTTTAATATAGAGCCATTATACAAATTTCAGATAAAATTTACTGTCTTCATATTTTGTTTTCGTAATCTATCACTTTAGAAAATACAAAGAACTTATGTTAATATGTCCAAAATTAAGGATTGTTATCCAAATTATGAATAAGCAATTTCTTTGGGATATTTCCATACTTTATACCCACAGATTTCTGTTACTGGTTGTTAATTGAGATATGGGATAAATACAACAAATACATGTGGTGAGGGATAAGAAATTTAATGTTATTACAATGTTATTAATAAGACATTATAAGTCTTATAATATTACATTATTAAAAAAACAAATAATCATAAATTCAAACCAATTCTTAGAAAGGATTAACATGCTGATAAGATTAACTTTCATTTTGTTTCCTGTTAATAGTCCAAATTGTTGAAGTAGTTATCCTGAATAAAAATTTTCTGTTCTAAAAGTTGTATTTTGAAAGTGTTTCAAGGAAGAGTACTTTATTTCAAACATCAATAAAAGAGTTTTGAATTCGAATTACTTGAGTAGGATGACATTTGTCAGATTTATCCATTGTAAAGTGAATATTATTTCCTTTCCATTGTTTATTCTTAGAAAGTAAGTCAATGAATTCAGAGAAGATTCAAAAAGGGATGGGAATGAGTTCTAACTTCTTGAGGGGAGATTGAATGCTTAAATGGTTTTGAATTTTTTTTAAGGAAGATTTGTCTAAGGGAAGAGAGGTTTATAAAGGAAAGTGTGACATATTCTACTGTAAAATTTTTGCAAAAGAAGAATCAAAAGTCTTCATTGATTTTGGCAAAATGAACGCCAGTTAACTAAGAATATCACTTTTAATTTAATTATGAGACTGAGATCCAGATGAGTGTGAAGAAGAATAAATGAGAAGGAATTAAAGACAGTCTACATGGACACTTTAGAGTTACTCAGGTGGAACAAGAAAGAATGACTATAGCCCAGGATTCATGTGACAATGACAATCACATTCTGTTTTTTGAGTATATTGTGTTCTGGGAACATAATTCTCAATTTTAATCCAGATTTTTAGCAACTTTAGTCATAGGAAAATATAACTTTTAGAGTCCTCAACTTGAGTAAATTTAAATTAAAAAATTTCATATATCAAAATCGAAAGTTGCTATCATGGATTTTCTTTTTAATCATCTGCATAGAAAAGATTTCTGTAAAATTAGAAGCAGATCTAGATGAAAAGGATTCTTCACTGCTTGGAATAAAATTTGCAGCTAACCTGCCCATAATTTTCCTGGTAGTTCACATCAAATATCAACAGATGATTTGGACTTTCTTTACCTACCACTGCTCATGGGTACTTATTATTTAATAAATTTTGTTTTCACAATTGCAGGTGGCTTTGCAACTATTCTTGATTATTGGATTTTTACAGGTTAGTGCATTTTTCAGATCTTGACAGTTAGCATAGCCATCTTCATAATCACAACCATTGGCTGAAATTAAAAAAAAAATTAAAAACCTTATTATCGTTTTCCTCCATAGCAGCAACACACAGTAAATTCAATGTGAATTTGGAGAAGGGAAGTGAGCTACCAAGTTGATCTCATTACACTTTGATGATTGTCTCAATCTTGAGAAGAACAAACTTTGCTTTATTTTTTGTTCAATTTGAGGATTTAAAAATGTTTCTAAGATAAACTGGGCTTTCTATTTTAAAAATGTACAGTAGGAAATGCTAGTGAGTGGTATTGGTCAAATTATATTGTTATATTGAAAGCATGTGTGAATGTGCAACAAATCCACCACATGTACAACTATAGTGCACCAATAAAAATTGTGAAAAAAAATAAAATATATTCCAAATTAAAAAAAAATAGAATAAAATTCACATAAGTGAATCTGTCTAGAATTGCGTTATCCAAAATGATAGCAGTAGACATATGCTTGTTCAATCTTACATTTAATTAAAAGTAATATTTCAGAACCATGGCAACACCAGTTTTATACCAAGTGCTCAATAGTCATTGAAATCTAAAAGGGGGCTACCTTAGAGCATAGTGAAAATCCTGAATATTTTCATTATTGTAGAAATTTTATGGACACAGTTAACCTAGACTCTAATGTCACTAGTCTTTCTCACAGGAGTAATTTTTTAGAAAGATAAAGATATAGAGTATCGAACATTTCTATTTTCTAACACCCCTCAGTGGACAAAAATTGAACAAATCTCAAATTATATTCATCATCCTATCTATAATCTTTACATTTTGTTGATATCCAGGAGCCCATAACCTTCTATTGACCCAGTTTCAGAGAAATGTCAGTTCTAACAACTGAATAATTCAAAACAGGAACTAGGAAATAACAGGATCTTGTTTCTTTTTACTTTTTGTTTTAGATTTTTGAGAAAGGGTTTCACCAATGTCATCTAGATTGGTCTCAAATTCATTCATTCAAGTGACCCTTCTGCTTAAGTCTCCCAAGCAACTGAGACTACAGGCATGCACCACCATAGCCAGCACTCTCTTTATTTTTTTATCAGCATTTAATAAGCACAACCGACAATTACTAACTATTCTTCTCTCTCTCTCTCTCTCTCTCTCTCTCTCTCTCTCTCTCTCAGCTGCTTACTACTTTTCATTCCTTTGGCACTAATACAGTAAAGATTTACATTTGTTTGTGAGTCCATATTTATCAACTGTCTCATAGCTAGCTTTTATTCTATTATTTCTTCATACTACCTCCAGGAACTCTTTATAAAACACACTCCTGATCATAACACTTCTGTGTAAAATCTTTCAGGTAGATACTCATTACTGATGGATAGGCTCAAATTTCCTTAGCGAGGCATGGACACTTGGATTTTATTTCCTTTAGTTAGAGGTTTGACATCATCAAAATGCTGAAGAATAGTTTCAAAATTCATTCAGAAAGGATTGATATAATTTACTCAGATGAATGTAGTTTGAAAGGTAAAAAATCTTAGTGAATTGGTCACCTGCATTGTTCATAATAATTTTACTAACACAAATAATTTTACAAACCCAAATCCTTACTCTTTGTAATTCCATTAATAATACTGAATATTAGGTAATATATGATATTTATTTTACTCTCTCTTTTCTAAACCATTTGAAATAATACCATATATGGATTTGATTTTAACTTTTAAAAATGTACACACATTACTAACGAAAGGAGGTGTAAGTTATTTTAAATTAAATGTAACAATTCTAAGAACATTATGGATGAATTAGGGAATTGTGATAAATTTATTGGCATATAAAAATTGCTATTTTTGTTTTGCCTCTCTGGACTGAGCCATATTGTATCATTTAAAACCCTTCAATATGTATCTGTTTTCCCTTTTAAAAATGCCAGCTTTGATATAATGACATTGACATTAGTCTTTTCCCTTTTCTTTTTATTTTTTGGTTCTGAAGACTGAACCCAGGGTTGCAATTGAGCTACATTCCCCAGTCTTTATTTTTATTTTGAGACAGGGCCCATGAAGTTGCTTAGGGCACTGAACTTGTGATCCTCCTGCCTCAGCCTTCTGAATCTCTTGGATTGCAGGCCCCTGCTCCTAGCTAATGACACTAATCTTGATGCAAGGATGAATTATTCCCATGGAAACATTTTCAAAGATGCCAATATATAACAAGCTAAGTATAGTCATAAATACACATAAATTGTGGATAATTCTTTAGATTATATATGATAATAGGGTTTTCATTTCAAATAATGCTTAGATACAGAAGCATGAAAAATTTGTACTTAAAAATACTCTTATGTTATTGGTTTGCATGAAGGTATCACTTAAACTGATTACATTCAGAGTTCTAAATTCTTTAAAAATAAAACGCCGTGCTCTTTTACTACACTAACAAGGTAATCACTTTGAACTTACTGCATAGTCCATCTTCACAATGTCCAGGACAACTGCCACAAGGTGCTCCTTTGTCATAAGGGGTATTTATTCTACTAAGATAATTGCCACTGCAATTTTAAATGAAAAAAAAATGTCATTTAAAAAATTTCTGTTTAGTTTATACTCTGAGATTAATGTTCATCACCAAATATACATAGATATTTATTAAATGTTTTTACTTATGTTAAATAACCAATGCAAACTGTCATTACCTAAGTGTGTTCAGATAACAATGCAAAGTAAGGGAATAACTCACCATTTCACTAATCTCCTTGACTGTAAATTCAGAACCTGAGACACTGAAATAGAATAACTAGTCTAAAGTGTTGAGAGTGCATTTCAATGTGGAAACACTCTCTTCATTTTCCAACAGACATGGTTGAATTGTTAAGATGAAGTACAACAAGGTGCTGGCTAGGGGTAAAACATTCCCTAGAGAAAAAGAAGATTATGTAGTTCAAAGGGGTACAGTATGAAAAATACCACTTTAATGTATTTTGCAATTAAAAATGAAACAATGTCATAATTTCTACAATATGAAACAGGGTAAGTAAAGCTTCAATGTAGTTTTTGGATTCCAGGTGGGGTTGTTGATTTTCAAATAATTTTTGGTGTATGTTTGAAAAAGGGAATAGGGTTTAGGAAGATTTGGGAATGTCTATAAGTAGCATGTGTGTGATGTGAAATTTTTATGTTTATCAAAAATGGGAATGTTAGAAAAAGATTAAAAGTGATGGGCTGTGGTTGTGGCTCAGTGGTAGAGTGCTTGCCTAGTATATGTGAAGGACTGTGTTTGATTCTCAGTACCACATATAAACAAATAAATATAAAGGTTAATCCACACTAAAAATATATCTATTTAAAAAAAAAGATTAAGGGTGACAATCTCAGTCTTACAATAACTATCCTGTAGCTTATTATGAATTTTATCCTCTTGGTCATTAACATGTGAAAATTACTTAAACTGATTACAGCTTATCAAGCTGTCCCAGCTTATCAAGAGGGACAAGTGCCAAGACAATGAAGCTCTCTCAGCCTCTGCACAGAGAGTATAGCTACGTGGATGTAAGCACTTGTAAAATGACATAAGTGTTCAGGATATTCTCCCCCTTGCCTCCATTTATTATTCAATAACTCTTATTTCAGGTGTCTGGCTCTCAATATCTCCTCTTGGCCAAGGCATTTGATGCCTTCTCCTAGGGTCTTTCAGTACTCTCAACCTAACACCAATAGGACCTTAATGAATAGTGTCTTTTCAAACTGGAATACCATGTCACCTGAGTTATCTAGAACTTCAAAATGAATCATGTTGGGAGCTTGGTTGAAAACACATTCTACCTCCAGTGTAAAAAAATATATATGTATTAAAAATAAATTAAGGGACTAGGATTGTGGCTTAGTGGTAGAGCACTTGCCTAGCATGGGCGAGGCCCTGGGTTCAATCCTCAGCACCACATATAAATAAATAAATAAATAAAGATATTGTGTCCAACTACAACTAAAAACTAAATACTTTTTTTTTAAAAAAAAGAAATTAAAACTGACAGATTGTGGATATATGTTCATTATACTCACAGGATTGCGTTTTAAATTTTTGGAACATTCAAACATATTTCTTTAAGAAAGGGTTGGTTTCTTTCTATAAATTAAGATCATGATCAATTGTTCCTATAGTGGTTTTTGTCACAAATTCTGAGAGGCAAAAGCTTAAGGTGTTATCTTCCTCACAATTTGAAAAATATTAAGACTCTCTTAAAAGACTTTGAAGCTCAAGAATTGACCATTTCTGAATGAAATAACACAAGGGTTTTAGATAAGCAGGAGTAACAACATTGAGAAGAAAGGACTGGAATAACTAAATCAGTGAAATACATCATGCTTCATTTGTTCTCACCTTTACCCCTGATCTGACATCAAGCTTTCACTTTCTAGTGTGTGAACTTAGTAAGATATGTTAGTACAAATCCAGAAAACTGTACATCATTCACAACTACACGTGTATTCACAATGTAACACTAAGTCTGGGGAATGGCACTGGAGAGGGAAACCAAATCGTAAGCATTAGGACCGAGCTTCAGAAATCTAGGAATTGGGAATTTGGTCTTTCTGAGATTTTGGTTATGTATGTCTCAACTTTAGAAAGTCCTCTAAAATTCATTTCCTTCCCCTTTTCTTGAGTAACTTTTTAGTTCATTATTATTTTTATAATCAAAACATTAATGTGCATTTGGTATTATTTGATATTAACAGCAAAACATCCTAAAATGTACACTTACGAGGGACAATACTGGCAAACCAGGAAGTATTTTAAATTTTGATTAGTACAGAGGGCAACTCCACATCCAACATGGAAAGATGAGTACCAAACCACCTACATATCAATAAGTGAAAATAGGAGTACATTAGAGAAGAAGAAAATATAAAATAGGAAGAATTACAAACCAGAAAAGAATGCTACTTTGTTTACATATGCCTTATGGATATATTTAATTTATGGAATCAAATTAAAGCATTTTAAAATTATTACATTTTCATGTCCATTTACTCTCCTTTATCCATTTAGAGTAATATTATAAAATACAGAGAATTTTTAATTTTTACCAAAAGCCTGTGAGCTATTGAAAAATGACAGCCCAGATACTCAACAAAGGTCCAGACAATTCTATATCTATTTAAGGCCTTCCCTCAAGTTCAATATTCGAATCGGTCACATTTGGAGAGTCTTTACTTCTAGGGTATGTAGAGCAGCAGGTGTTCCAGTTCTTTTCTTACCTGAGTATAATGTCCAACTACTGCAGAAGGTGTCTTTCCCCCTACATTATAGATGAAATCATGGTGCTCATCATACCAGACTTGGATTGCTTCTGACCATGAAGGAAGATAGTCTGACATAAAGAGATTCTCACCACAGCTTATGTCTATAAAAGAACAAATCTTTCGTGAGGGAAGTAATAAAGTATGCAATGCGCGTATAGAAGCTCTCACACAGACACAGAGTCCATATGCTTCAAACATGGTGCCCAAAGTCACTGACGCCTGGATGACACATAAGGAGGGTGCCTCAGGTCCTTAGCACCTATGGCTATATGTTAGCCAGATGTGCCCAACACATGTATGCTGGCCACACATGCAAAGCTTGAGGCAGATGGAGAAGTCTTCCTTTACTATCTGCTCTCCCTGGACTCACTCATTTATACAGTCACTTCGTCAAGGTGTTTGCCACATGCGGGTTCAGATTACTGTGGTAATCATCCTGAATGCAGACACCAACTCCTGCAATTTCTTTCCTGCTCTAGCCCACACTCGCTAGAGATTTTCATATATAAAAATGTGAATAACTGTTAAGGATCATTATTTTGTGTACACTTTGAAAGAAATCTTACAGGCAATCTTTCAGTACCCTAAGCATGAAGCAACAGACAGTATTTTTAAAGTCACTTGGGTATTTTCCCTTTAATCAGCCAATCAGAATATCATAGGCTAAACTCTCCTCCTAGAATTAGGAAAAAGTGTCTTGCAGCCCAAAAAATCTCAATTTTTAAAAAATATCTCAGTATTTTTAAGTTCTGCAAATGTTTAATTTTGGATGTTGAAATGTAATGTCTCTATACTGCTTAAAGAGAATGTAAACCACTCTTTGATAGCTTCTTTAAAAGGGACAGAAAGAAGATTTTTACAGAAGATTGGCATCTTTTAGGCCAATTCTTTCAATCTTGTACTGAATATAATCATGCTTCTTCATGATTTTTAAATTGCATTATCAGTAATACAAATAGTAATGAGATCCTATCTTAAAACTTGTGAGATATCTATTTTCCAGTTGAGCTTGATTTATCTAGGTCTTTTTGATAATTAAAAAAAGTGGTATCTCATAGTTCATTTATGTGATATTTTATGTCATTGTTTCACGCTCCTTGATGTAAAAGTCATGTCTTGTAGGTTATTAGTCTTAGAAAATATGCTTGGTGGGCACCCAGAATATACAGACTTTTTGTCATCACATTTTTAAAAGGAAATAAGTGTAACTGATATATTAAATATTTTTAAAGTAAAACAGAAATAATTTGATCAAATTTAATATATGTTATAAACTTAAAAATCATTATTAAGACACAAAGAGGCTACTTTTTTATTAAAGAAATACTGGTTTAGAATTTAGAAATTATAATTTGGGGTATGACACTAATTATTAATCATTTTACTCCAAGCAGTTGGTTTTCTTATTCAAATGAATAAAGGTGGTCCATGACCTGCTTGACTCCTGAGCTCATTTATAAGTTCAAAGATGATACTGTGTGAGTATTTATGAAATACAAACAATTAGTACAAGGCAGTGATCTCAGTGTTTTCTCTACTATAGAGACAAAGGCACAGTATTATTTTTAAAGTTTTCTAACAAAACATCATAAAATGGTCCCTTGTTATTTTAATTGTCCATTTGTCCAACATATATTTATTAATGTACATACTGGTTCTTCGGGCATCTGGGGCACTGTGTCTGTAACTGCACTGGTTGGCCCACTTTTGGGCATTGGCTGCAGCTTCATTGCTCCATTTCTAAAAGAAGGAAAGGAAAGATGTGCACTTAATGGCTCCAATCTCAAAGGTGCCTAATCTTTGCAGTCAAATGGATATGTTGGTCTTTTATCATTATACAATTTCCATAGAGGAATTTGAAAAAAAAATATTATTATTATTTTTTTTTTTGCTCCAAAGAAATGTACATGTTGTGTCTACCCTAAGTAACTGAACATTCTAAGACAGGTATTGGTTTATACATGATGGCACAGCAGGCACACCTAAGTCATGTTAATCATGTTAAATATTGAAAATATTTTTTACTATAGAAATGAGCTGGCATACTTCATCCTAATTCCTTCCATTATTTTTGTTTTGTTCCTATTGATTAATTTAGGGAGACATATGGCCTTTGATGCTGGGGCCAGAAAAGTAGACTGTTTCATTGATCTGATCCTAAAAGAAGTCTTCTTGATCCTCCTGTATTATTAAGGGTTAGAGGAGAGTCAGCAGAACAGTGGCCTTTCATTGGATACCTAAGGATTTGGTTTCACTTCTCTTACCATAACTTAAATTGCTCCAAAAAGCTGACAAGTTACTTAATCATTATAAAAGGAAATGAAGAAATTCTGCCTTGAACATAACACAACTCAAATGAAATGACAAATGAGAGTCCTAAGGCGCAATGTTACGTGATGTCACCTACCAAATGTCTGCTCTTACACAGCTCAGAGTGCCTCCAGCTACCTTCCTTAAATTACCACCTCTTACCATCTTTAGCATGTTGCTGGCAGTGGGAGATACTGCTTTTCTTAGTTCATTGTGCTTATTTACAATCTCACTTTGAACTTCCTTTCGAGTGGTTGACAGAGCATTCAAATCTTGATTCTAAAGGGAAACACAATTAGAATTATTTTAGCATACTTGAAAATTCCATGTAATAATTAATAAATCTTTAATTTTTTAAGAGATTAAGAATCATTTTTAAAAGTGTTTATTTCAAACCAACTTTAGTTGTTAAGCATTGCCAATGAAACTAAGCCAAAGCTATGACTTTTAAATGGAAAAGTAGACCATTGAAGTTTAGAGAATGGGGATGTAATTTATGGCATGACAAATTAAAAAATTCACTGAGGCCACAAATGCCAGTTTTGGTTTTAAGAAAAAGTTTCCTTTTCTCTGACTATATGAGTGGTATTATTAAGTACATGGTAGAAACCATGAAGACATTAACACTCCATTAGGCTGCAGCAAGGAAATGTTAAGTGTGGACAAACATGATTTATTGTAGACTTTAGGAGTAACATTCACCTGACAGAGTGTCAGGTGTCTAGATGAGAAATATTTAGGCATAGACCAAGTGCATATGTAGTGCTCCATATGTAGTAAAAGAACTTATGTATTATGTAGCAAATTTTGTAGGATCACTCAAAAGATGATTTTACCATATTTAAAAAAAAATGTCCAAGGCAATTTGAAGGGAATGAAGTCATTCAATTAATGGACTATAGATGACTATCTTTTTATTACCAGAAATGTAACTGAGAAGATATTAATTCCCATGCTGATATTTGAGTTTATTTATTTATTTTTGTATATGTGTGGGTCTGGAAGTAGAATGAGGTTGTGTGAATTGTTGGCACAAGAGATAAAAGTGATTTGCTGATCCGAATTTACACAACAACATGCTATCTTATAGGAATGAGCAGGAATTTCAAATATAAGTCTAAAGTGGCAGGAATGCTTTAGATTTCATATTATTCCTTGGGATCAGTTATCCTCCAGCCCTCCATACTGAGTACCCTCAAGACTCTCCAAATTCTGTTCTCATAGATGTAACCGCATTTTATTGCTGTTATCTAATAGTATGTTCATTACTCCCTCCTGCTTTAATGTTTCTAAGAACAGGGACCATTGCCATTGTGATGCTTTGTTCAAATAGATCTCAGCACAGCTACTGACTAAAGTGGAAAGAATGCCCAATGTCCTACAGCAATAGTTTAAGGACTCCAAAACAAAATTCATCAGTTTGACAACTGAATGCAAAGT